TGTCCCACACAGAGGTCTCATTGGCTATATGACCTGATTGACAGCCTAGACTCCACCCCTTCATTCTGACTCCACAAATGGGCTCCAGATTATGTAACTACCACAGGCCCCATCTGTGAAATAGGGACAAATCCATGCATCGCCTACTCAGTGTGATGCTTTAATCAAACAATGTGGCTTAGGACAGAAACTGGCATAGAGTCAGTGTTTAGACGCACTTGATCACGCGCCTTCCCTGCGCGCAACCAGAGGGACCAGGCCGTCTGTGGCTCACTCACTCGGCACACAAGGCCCCCGGATGATGCAGACGCTACATGCACACCAGCTCGCCTGGCACTTGTGGTTCAAACTCTCACCCCACGGCACCGAGGAAGAAAGGCCTGGCACTCTGCTTGTGTCAAGATTACAGCCGGGGACCCCCCGGAGCAGTTCTGCTGTCACCCATGGGGTCGTCCTCACGAGTCAGAATCAGCTCGGTGGCAGTGAGAGCTCGACCCGCAGTCAAGCAGCTCTTGAGACCCTTCATGTCTGTCTCCCGGAGAGAGACATTCCACAGGATTCCACGGGCCCTCGGGTCCTAAAACCGCCAGTTCTTTCCCTGGCTGCGTTTGCTTATTGAGTAAGTAAATATTTATTGAGGACCTCCTGGTGACCTGACGCCGGTCCCGGGAGACACGCAAAGCACAGCTGGGCAAAGGCACCCACGGAGCAGCCCAGCTGAGGACTCGCGCACGTTCCGGTTTGCGTTCCCAGCCTTTCGCAACACCATGCGTGCCGGCTGTAGGAACTGAGAAGGTGTGTGGGGAGGGTGGGGGGGCTTGCCCATCCCCACAGGATTTGCTAATTAATTAGACAACCTGAGGCAGGGGCCTGATGACACTGGCTTAATTTGCCAGGCTGGCTGGGAGCAGAAGAGAAGAGGGCGGCTCAGGCCTACACCCTCTAATTGCCGCCTTTGCCTCCTGCAGGGCTTTGTAGGAAGCATCAAAGGCTGCCTGGCTCCTGCTGTGGGGAGCCCATTTTCCCAGCTGGGATGACTGAGGACAAAGGAGGGGGCAATTCACCTGGGGATGGGAACAATAGAGACAGCATGAGCCCCGGGGACTGGAGGGGAGACTCAGACTCACGCCCCAGAAGTCCGGAGCATGGTAACAGGTCTGGGCTGAGACAGGCTCTCTGGGGACTCAGGGTTTCCCTCTGCGCCACTGCCTCCCACACCTGACCGAGCACTCATAAGGGCAGCAAGGGGCCAGATCCACCTCATGTGTCCAGTGAGAGGGGCAAAGTCACAAACCAGGCCCAGCTTTCAAACTGCCCACATGGATGCCCGGGGCACGGGCCCTGTGGTGTTTGGGGATCTTGGGCAGGTGACGGGCCCTCAATTTCCCTAGAACCAGTATTTCTCAGACCCGATGCCTGTTAAGGCAGAGAGGAGAATGCTTGTCCTTGCCAGCTGAACTGGGTGGCAAAAGGGAAACCACTGTGTGCCTGTGGCATGGCACGGGTTGGAGGCTGAGGGTACCAACTGCCTGGGCTGCCTTCCTGTCCCTGCCTGCATTCAGTTACCGAGCCTCCCTGTGGCTCAGTACTCAGTACTCAAATATGCAAAGTGGGGATCATCAGAGTACCCATCTCACCAAGCTGTTGTGGGGGTGAGGTCAACAAAGACACGACAGGCAGAACAAATGAGGACAGTGGGTTGTCGTTCTGACCCATAGCGACGTTAGGCCCCACAGAATGAAATTCTGCTTGCAGATGTCCTGCACCAGCCCCATTATTGTTCCCAAGCTTGTGCCCATTGCTGCTGCCGCTGCGGTGTCAATCCACCTCCTTGGGGGCCTTCCACTTTTTCAAACATGAGGACAGGGGGTGTTGGATGACCCCTGATCATTAAATCAACCAAAAGCCCCCTTCGGCTAGGGGCTGGCTCCTTTGTCTTTGCAGTGGGGAAGGAACTGGGGTCACGGGGAGACAACCATAGTGTTTGCCAGGGCTTGCTCCACAGTGAAGTCCCTGTTTGTTAACCCTTCCTGTATGGCCACACTTCTCTTCTTTGGAAGCCGGCCCTTAAGGCCAGCTCACGTTCCAGACAGTGTGGGGATGAAGGTCCACCCATGGGAGAGAGAGCAGCAGCCACCTGAACTCTCTGGGAATCTTCCACACGGAAGACTGGTTTCGTTCCTCCCTCCAGTCACTCAGCAAGCAGAACTTTCGTGGCCCGAGTGATACTTGGGTTGTAATCTGACCCTCCGTTGTTTTTGTCGTTCATCTGGTTCTGGAGTCTGAGCTCCCAGGGGTGACAGTCCTGTTTCTCCCTTGTCCTCTGGCTTGATGTGTTTGCGGGGCAGGTCCTTACTCCTAGCAGCTCTAAGCTCTGTTTGTGTTTTCTGTGTCAGGACTCGTGCTCGTTGGGTGTTGTCGAGGTGATTCCGACTCACAGCGGCCCGAGGAAGGAAACACTGCCCGTGCTGTGCTGTCCTCGCCATGGATCTCAGGGCTGAGCCAGAGTTGCAGCCACGGGGTCCATCCATCTCACTCAGGGCCTTCTCCTTTCCACTGCCCTCTACTCTGCAGGGACTGGTCTCTCCTGACAACACGCCCAAAGTACGTGAGACAAAGTCTCGCCAGTCTTGCTTCTACGAAGCATCGGGGTGGGGTGGGGGAGCATTCTGGCTATATCTCTTGTTCTTTTTGTAGGACTAACACTCTCTTCCTTTTTATTATTTTTATCTTTTGAAACAGCGTCATTGGCGCTTCAAACACACATCATGCAATTCAGTGGTTCAAGTACACCCAGAAGAGTTGTATCATCAATGTTAGAACATTTTCCTTCCTTGCACTCATTGCTATTAGTGTGATTTTTTTAATTGTGACAAAAATATACACAACAAAACATTCTCCAGTTCAACAACTTCTACATGTATAATTCAGCGCCATTCTTCGTGTGGCACAACCACGATTGCCATCCTTTTCCAACTTACTCCACCACTGTTAGCAGAAACTCAGTGCCCCCGAAGCAAAAACTCTTCCTCCTTCGCCCATGGTAGCCATGGGCCAAGTCTGGTTTCTTTCTTTCTTTTACAGCAGTTTTCTTGATACAATGTTCACATATACACTTTGGTAGTTAAGTCGCTCTTTAAAAAGATTTGTGTAGACATCGTCACAATCAGTTGTCGCCCACATTCAGTGATTGTTTGCTCCCCAGCTCCCCTCCCCCTCCCCAACCCTTGTCCTGGTAACGCACCTCTTCTTCCGGCAGGCCCTGGGGCTTTCAGTGCTCTAGCAGCACCCCCATTCAAATGGCACTGGAAGCAACCATTTCTCCAAGGAGCCCGGCTCTTTTCACTGCAGACTGGTGTTTAGGACCCCAGACCTGGGCACTGGGTGGACGCATTGGTGCTGGGATGTCACTGCCCCCAGTGACATCCTTTTCAAAGAAAACCTCCTCCCCTGCCGCTTGTGAGGCTGTTGAAGGCCTCAAATGCTGCCGCCACAGATGCACCCTATGTACCCTCAGGGAGGGTCAGGGGGCCATCAGGGTGCCTGGCGAGAGCACACACCAGGCCCACTCCCACGTGTGGGAGCCATTTCTAGCATCCAGGCAGGACTGGCCTCCGCCTGCCCTTCCAGCTCAGATCTGTTTGGAAAGCGGCAGGCTCCCTCTCTTACTGACAGCTCCATCAGTGGTGATGGCAATAACCATAGCTCAGCCACAGAGCCACGGCAGCCACAAGGGTCGGACCAGGCAGAGGTTAGGTACCAGGAAGACCTGACTCAGCCCCTGTGGCCCAGCACACACGAACGGGAAGCAGTTTCAGCCAACAGGTCTCTCCGCTTCCCTGCCTCCCCCAAACCCAGCCCCATCCAATGCTGGCAGGCCTCACTGGTGCTGAGTGAGCTGGGACCCAGGGCCGGCTCCCCTTGGTGGCAACTCTCTTACAGCAGCAGGAGTCAGGACAGAGAAGGCCAAGGCCTCTCCTTCTGCGGTCAGTATTTCTCTGTCTCCTCACAGCTCAGGGCCAGGAGTTGGGCGCCCTGGGGGCAGGGCCTGCCTTGAGTGACGTCTCTCTAGAGCATAGTAATCATGCCACACCCTGCATAAAACCTTCCATGGCTCCCCAGTGCCCTGACTCCTGGACCTGCAAGACCCTGCAGACCTCGCCAGCACCCCCGTCACACCCTAACCACACGAACCTGCTTGTGGCTCCGTTGCACAACAGGCAGCTCACGCCTCTGCTCTTGAAGCTGCATGCCCCATTCCTCAGCTCTGGGGTCACATCCTCCAGGAAGCCTTCCACGTTGCCCCAGGTGATCTGGGCCAACCAAGGCCCATACACTTCCCTATGCCCCACTGCGGACGACCTCTTGCGTGCTGGACAGAGAACGCTCCCGGTTTGAAATTGGGGATCTGGGTTTCTCCTCGAAGCCTTGGGCAACTTGCTGTTGTGTGACTTTGAACAAGTCACTGCACGTCTCTGACCCTCAGGCCCCTCACTTGTGATAAGAGGTCTCATCAGACTTCTCTTCCCGTTCAGGCCCCCACCTCGGAACTTGCAGTGGACCTGGGCAGGCCCAGTCACTGGGCCCAGCCTCCGTTTCCCGCTTCTGTGAAACGAGGCTGCCCGCAAAACTACCCAACAAGCCGAAACCCGCGAGCGTCTTTTGCAAGCCTTAGGAGCCCTACACGAATGGTCGAGGAATCGATTTCCACAGCTCCATGGAGACGTGTGGGAGGCAAGGCTGACGGCTGCTCTCACCGTGCCCGGCCTCCCAGCCTCTCCAGAAGCTTCCAGATCAAAGGTGATGGGGCCTGCTCCCTGGGCACCCTGCCCACCCCACCCACCCCCGCTCCCAGGGCTACACATGTTGCGCAAGAAGCCGTTTAAATGCTCTCCCAGTGGGAGCAAGCCCTTTGTCTCCACTCCCACCCCCCCACACACACACCCAACTCCTGGCTCAGAAGGAGAGCCCTCTGCTGCTTTGAAGACACAAAGCCACAATCATGTGAACCATCTGCAACTTTATTCCAGAGCAGAAATAAGTCATTTTCTAATAATAAATATAAAAAAAATAATAAATTAAGGTTCAAGAGAAAAAAAAATACCCAACAAAACAGAGTCATTAACACTGACCAGTAATGAATGTCGTCAAAGGGGTCTGAGAGGGCAGCAGCTGGGGAGCGGGCAGGAGAGGCCTGCCGGCACCGGCCCCCCAGGTCTGACACAGGGCTGTCCTCTGCTTCTCGCTCCGGAAGGGGCCCCCGCCACACACACATTCTCTCCACAAAGTACAAAATATCTATTTAAAAAACCTCAACACAGTCAAGCATCCTGCGGGGGCCCCGGGAAGACAAGTGGCCCTCTGGGGCTGAGGAAGGCACTGGGGAAGGCAGCAGGGAACCTTCTGGCATCTTCTCACCCAGTAGAGCCCAGGAGAGTCTGTCCTCGGATAGAGCACCTGGAGGTGCCCTGTTCGCACACACGGCAAAGACTGACCCCCACTTCCCTGAAACCGGGGAGAAGGCTGAGGGGAGGTCAGTATGGAAATGTCCCTCGTTTTGGTCCAAAGGCTCTGCTCCAGGAGTTTTGGGAACACAGTGGTCCCCACTAAGTGCTTGGCTTCCTTCAAGGGGATCCCTGAGCGAATCCTCGATTCAGGCCCCCACCTCCCCCCCCTGACCCGTCCCCAGCAAAGGTCTCTGGGTGGCGGTAAGGAGCAACTAGAAATAAATAAGTTTTCTGATGGCCCGGCGCCACACCGGCAGGGAGGCCGCGACTGCTGCTTCAAGTATTCTTGGCGGAGGGGGACACGGTCCTGGTCCTGGTCCTGTGGGGGGCTCAGATGGGGATGCCCACTGTGTTCACTTGGTCCTTGAGCCCCAGCAGGCTATAGGCAATGCGCTTCTGGTGGCCTGGCAGCCGCACCCCAATCCTCTTGATGTCTCTGTGAGAGGGGAGAGGAGAAGGAGAATGAGGGCTAGAGCTGGGGGGGCGGGGCTGGGTGACTGTGGGAGGAAGGCATCAGTAAAGAGAGAAGGGGGACAGAGAACAGGTTTGGGGGGGCCTGTGGTGAGAAAGGCAGGGGGCTCCCAGAAGGTTCGACACTTAGCAGCCCACTGAGAAGCCCACCATGGACCAAGTTAGGAAAATGATAGGCCCTGGGCTCTGAGCAGCTCTGCCATCACATCTCCTCCATAGTTGTGAGTTGAGTTGAGCGATACGTTCACTCCCATGTTGCAGATTGGGAAACAGAGGTGCAGAGGTGATGTGAGTTGTCCGGGGCCAAGGGGCTGGGAAATCAAACCAGTTGCCATCAAGCCAGCCCCTCCCTTCAAGAAGCCTCTTCCTCCCGCCACCCCATGTGCCTGTATGCCAGCTGGGTACCCCCCATCCCCACCCGGGCTGTTGCTCAAGCACCCTCCTCCTTCCCAGAAACGCTTGCTGGGGGCTCATCAGGGTCAAAGCTCTACTGGTCTCTAAGAAGCTTCTGGTCATCACATTCCTCACCTGTACCATGGGACACCCGTGCCCAGCTAGAGGGGGGCAGCACTCCCAGAGCTGGGGGCCGCGGAGGAAGGCAGCACCAGGACTAGAGGGGGCCCACCACCCTACTTCTCATCCCTCCCAGGAGGAGCTGGCGCCCTGGGCTCCCCTCCTGCACCCCTCATCCCCTCGTAAAACCACTTACGCTCCCGAGCCGGGGAGCGGGCCTGTTTATTGCTCATGTTGGGCGTTTTCGCCTTACTGCCCTCACCCACCAGCCCCAACCCATGAAAACACCCAGGTTTTTATGGGACGTCTCTTGGCTGTAAATTGTAAACGGGGCCTAATTATATGGTGCAAGCTCCTGTTTGCAATTCCGGAGACAAGACTTTCCCACAGGTTCCGGAGCCTCTGGAGGAGGAGTGCTGAGCAGGGAAGGGCAGCCCCAGGTGCGCGAGCAGAGTCAGCTCCAGGACCTCTGGGAGGGCCAGCTTCCTGCAGCAGGATGACCAGAGGTCAGACAGTTGGGGGAACTTCCTAACCTATCACCTGCAGTTGAAAAAGAGGTTTTCTCCATACTTGCAGGTCTCAAGGTGTGGCTCACAGACCACCAGGGTGGGCAGCAGGATTTGGAGTCCCCCTCAGGACCGACTGAGTGTGAATTTCTGAAGGTGGTGCCCAAGAAATGTCCAAACTCACTGCTGATGAGGTGATGCCAACCCATAGCAACCTACAGGGAACAGCAGAACTGCTCCGTGGGGTCTCCACAGGAGCACACAGCCTCATTCTCCCGCAGCATGGCTAGCAGCTGTCCTCGACCTGTGGGTCGCGACCCCTTTGGGAGTCGAATGACCCTTTCACAGGGGTGGCCCGATTCATCACAGTAGCAAAATGACAGTGATGAAGTAGCAATGAAAATCATGTGATGGTTGGGGGTCACCACCACATGAGGAGCTGTATGAAAGGGTTGTGGCCTGAGGAAGGTTGAGAACCGCTGAACTGCCAAGGCAGTTAGCAGCCCACTGCAACACCGGAGCTCCTGCAGGTGGGACAGCACCTGCATTTCCATCAGGCCCCAGAGGACTCTGGTAGATGACTTACGAACTAGCTATTCGAGCTCCCTGAGACCAAGGGCTGAGATCTGTCACCGGGGCACCATCCCCTACCCCCAAAGAAGTGAAGAAAGGAAGGGGGATGTGTATTCATGGGGATGGGCCCTCCCCTCTCCCAGGCTGCTGTGGCCAACTGGACTCAACCGGGGCTGAGGCTGCTTCTCAGGCCGGCTGAGTTAATACTCAGCGAGCGCTCTGGTGACATCATGATGAGCCACTCAGCCTCGAACCCCTACCTCGGCAACTCGAACCCCCCAGGGGCCTCTGCCCAGCTCTCCCACAGTAAAGAGTCTCTCCTAGAAAAACCCTCCGGCCGTTTTATTCTGTCATGAACGGCAGACAAGAAGTCTGTCTTTGGGCCTCAGCTTCTTCGTGTGTAAAATGGGAAGCTTCGAGATGTCTCTGAGCAGCCAGGCCAGGCCCCGCTGTCCTTTCAAAGACAAAGCCCTCCTTCCTTTCACTGCTTTACTCCGTGACCGTCTTGGGACCACCCCAAATGTGTTCCTGCCTCTGCCTCAGTTTCCCTGTCAGGAATCCAGGGTGGCCAGCCCCTCCCACTCCCCTCCCAGAAGTAAGGCTGCCTCCACCCTGCCTCAGCTGGCACAATGCCAGCCCTGGCCCTGCGACACTGGAGGCCACATGCACAGAGTGGCTACCTACTGTGTGCACAGCCGTGGGCGAGAGGAGAGGGGAGCAAATAATGACCCCTGGAGTCTCCTGCATCTGCTTATTCACAGAGCCAGTCAACGCCCCCTCAGAGCCAGCCCATGCCCGGGGCATGTAGAGGCCATAATATCTGTTAACCCGCAGCACCCACACAGGTTGCTGTTCAGGCCCTGTTGTCTGGGACACCACCCCCTCCATGCACACTGGCTCTTTAAGAAAACCGTTAGAGCCACTTGTCTAGCTGGAAGCCCAATGTGTCCCTAAACCAGATGGTGACCACTCAGGCTAAGATCAAGAAGGCAGCCATGGGCCGAGGAGCGGCAGTAAGATATTGGAGCCCCAGCCACGGCTTATGAAGGGCCTCTCTGGGGAAGAGCTGAATGATCCTGAGACCTTCTCAGCCTCCCACTGGGATCCGAGGCCTGTGTGCATACAGCCGGGGCTGTCAACAGCCCCCTGTGATTCCCCAAGAAGGGTCGGAGGCAACGGAGTCGAAGGCAGGCCCCAGCTCTGAGCGGCGCGGGGCTGGTGGGAGGAGGAGGGAGCTATGAACGACTTCCTGCGTTTATCCAGGCCTTTACAAAACCAAACACACACGCACACACACAGCCTCCATCATTCCAAGATAGCCCCGTCCCGCTCGTGGGAAAGGAATTGGCCGAGGAGCACCCCGGGCTATTTCGGGAAGCTTCCAAGAACATGTGTTTCCTGTAAGCACTTCTCCTTGCCCTGCACATGGTCACCCAGAAGAGAAGAGGCACTGTCCTTGGTGGGAATTCCTGGAGGGGTCACAGGCACTGTTCCAGGCTTTCAGGGAAAAGGAGGTGTTCAAGGGATCTTGACACTTGCCCACTGATGGTGGGCAGAAAGCAGGCATGCCGAGGAGAGGAGAGTGCCCTGGACTAAGCCCCTGCTGGTGGTCAGGTGTGCCACCTGCACTGCACCAGGTATAAACCACAGGCTCAAGGAGAGCAGCTGATAGGATTAAGGTCACCTGCTAGGAAGTGGCAGCTATGAACCTGAACTCAATCTGCTCCTGGGAGTCGGCTCCTCACCCCACCCTCATGCCTTCTCTTCGGTCACTCTGTCCCCTGCGTGATTCCCATCCTCCACTGTCCCTGGGGGGCGGGTCATGGCCTGAGCCATTTCCAGAGGTCCCCGGGAATACTCGTGCCTGGTCCAAATCTCAGGGCTGTGAACTCAGTGGGGTCAGCCTCTCCTTGCGGTTCCCAAAACCTCGTGCCTGGGGGGGCCCATTCCTGTCATGATCTTGGACCCCGCACAAGTTGGCCCATTGGGAACCACCGCTATTTTTGGAGGCATAAAAGGCGAAGAGGCTAATGCCCTCTCCCTGCTGGGACGGGAGGAGGTGTCTGTGCCAAGGCCCCATGCTGGCGCTGTGCAGAAGTGCTCCCCGGGGACACCTGACAAAGAAAGGGCCAAGCCCTGGGCCAGCAGGGGGTGGGCAGCGCTTCTGGCCAGGCCAGAGCACAGGCCTGAGTGTGGACACGTAGGGAGAGTCACCCGGGAGGGTGGGACAAACCTGCCTGTTTCTCCTCCGCCCTGAAGGAGCCCTGTGACCTCAGGCACACTGCACCCCTCTCCACCTCGGTTTTCTTAAGTGGAGAGATCACCATGGTGCCTGTGCACAGGGCTAACAGGGGCAGCGATTCAATCGGATGGCGACTCCCTGCTACCCACAGCAGGCCAGTAACCCCTCTGCCTCAGTTTCCCAATGATGATGGGTCAGGGGTGTCTTCCTCTGGCCCTAGTGGCTGTGGGGCCCTGTGTAAGTCAGCACAGTCCTCTGTCTGGTTCTCCCCTCCCCGTGCGACATCGGGGGGCCCATCACTGAGGGCTGGCTCAAAGTAAGCGCTCATGGGCACAAGGGACACCCTGTCTGCCCTCAACAATAGTCATCATCTTGACTATTCGTCTCCTGTGCTGGAAAAGGACGCAGGGAGGAAGCGGGCACCCAGAACTGTCAGCTGCGGGCCTGGCCTCCCCCCCCTCCTCCGGGCCTCCAGTGCCAACCGAGGAGAGAATGGGAAAAGCGGAGAGGGTGGAGCTGGGACAGAGAAGCGGGTGGGAGGGGTGGTGGGCACCGCTGGCCGACTCACTCGTTGGTCATCTGCACCACCTTCTCGATGGCCGTGTAGCCGGCCGCCACGAAGTGCTCTGTGTACTGCTGCATCTTGATGGACTCTAGCCACTCGGCCACCGTGCGGAAGGGCACCCCCTCAGAGCCGCTGGTACTGGGCAGCCGGATGGACACCCTGCAACAGGAGCCAGCCGCCCCGGAGTGAGGGGGCTGCGGGTCAGCCCGCCCAGGACCGGGGTCCCCTGACCTGCCATCCTTCCAACCCAGGGACCACGGCCTGCTGTCCCCCGACCTGCAGTCCCCCGACCTGCAGTCCCTCCAGTCCACCTGGTCGGGTTCGGGGAGACAGTGCCACCCCCTCCACCGACTGCATGGCAAAACTCGAAGAGCAGGGTCTCAGGCTCCCAGCTGTCCAACCCAGCCTGGCCGCTTGTCAGCCGGGGGACATCCGTAACCATCCAGTGCCTCAGTTTCTTCATTTGCCCACTGAGGACAAGTACAGGTGGGCTGGCTGAGTTAGAGCATGCTGAGAGGCTGGCACAGTGCTTGCACTGATGCTGCCTGCGGCGTCTGGCCTCTCTGGGCTAAGGGAAGCCGAGCAGCACCTCTGGCCCGCTCCCTGGCCAGCCACCGTCGGGAAGTGGCTCAGGAGCCTGCGGCGGTGGAACTGGGGCACGGGGCGTAGGACTCACCGGGGGTCGAAGTCAGCCAGCGTCTTGAGGGAGTCGGGAGCTCGGATGAGCTTGTCGAGGATGCTGACGATGTCGGCGAACTTGGGCCGGCGGGTGCGCTCCTGCTGCCAACACTGCATCATGAGCTGGTAGATGGCGGAGGGGCAGTCCATGGGTGTGGGGAGCCGGAAGCCCTCGTTGATGGCTTTCATTACCTGGAGGGGGTGAGGCGGTCAGGGGGAGGCAGCCTCACGACCCCCAAACCTGTCCCCAGAAACAGATGGAAAAGCCCTTTCTCCCACCCAGCATTCTTTCAGGTTGTGCAAAGGGGCTGTTGCCAGAGTTCTCAGGAGAAAGAGAAGTTAACCCCATGGGACCCTGGGAGACAGCCTCACAGTGCACCCTGAGCCAGCTCCTCTAGGCTCCAGACTTCTACCTGCAGCTGCCTAGACTGGAGCACATGCCCTTCCTCACCTTCACCTGGAGCCACCGCCCTGGGTCTCAGGACAGATGGCACCTCCTCCAGGAAGCCTTTCAGACACCCCCCACCCCCCCACACGCGAACATGAACACGAAAGGACATACTAGCACAATCCCATGAACACACATCCCGTGTACTCAGGCACATCTAGGAACAGACACAGAAGCAGAGCAGGAATGTGCATGGGGAGCCCAGCTCAAAGCCCGACACAGAGCAAGCCCTCCGTGAACCGTAGCTGAGCGGAGGACTGATGGGTCTGGACTAATGGAGACCTGCAGACAGGAGGAACCCTACCTCGTGGTTGGACAGTTCCCAGTAGGGCCGCTCGCCATACGTCATCACCTCCCACATGACAATGCCGTAACTCCACACGTCACTGGCCGAGGTAAACTTGCGGTAGGATATAGCCTCTGGGGCTGTCCAGCGGATTGGAATTTTGCCGCCCTGCAGAGGACCCAGACAGGTCACCACTGTCCCCCCTGGGCCAGTCAGAGCCTCAGGGCCCCTCCTGTGCTCTCAGAGGTGCTCTGGAGTCCGAGCCCCATAAGCTCTATCCACCTCCCCACCATGCCCCCAATAGCAGCTCCAGTCCCTGACTCACACTCGTGGTGTAGGTGGCCTCAGGGTCATCCTCCAGCACTCGGGACAGGCCAAAGTCGGACACCTTGCAGACCAGGTTGCTGTTGACAAGGATGTTGCGGGCGGCCAGGTCACGGTGCACGTAGTTCATGTTGGCCAGGTACTTCATGCCAGCCGCGATGCCCCGCAGCATGCCCACCAGCTGAAGTACGCAGAACTCGCCATCCTTCTCCTGCCAGAAGACAGCCCCTCAGTGTGCCTGGCCAGTCCCTGGCCGGCCCAGCCCCTCCCCCTGCCAGGCCACAGCCCCTCAGTGCCCCTAGCCAGTCTCTGTCTGGCCCAGTCCCACCTCCTACCAGAGTGCAACCCGAGTGCCCCCCATCCGTACCCGGAGAAACTTGTCGAGGGCCCCGTTCTCCATGTACTCAGTGATGATCATCATAGGCTTGTCTGTGGGGGAAACACAGTGTAAGGGGACAGGTTGGTGGATGCAGGCAAAGCTCTCAGAAGAAAGGAGCACAGAAGATGGGGACACGAGCACACAGGTACATGTGGGGAGGTGAGCACAATGTGTGGGGAAGTGGGTTCAGGTGTGGGAAAGGGAACACAGGTGTGGGGGAGGAAGGAGCACATGTGAGGCGGGAGGTAGAAATGGGTGGAGTGGGAGGAAGCAAAAATGTATGCAGAGGTG